CTCTCTCTCTCTCTCTCTCTCTCTCTCTCTCTCTCTCTCTCTCTCTCTCTCTCTCTCTCTCTCTCTCTCTCTCTCTCTCTCTCTCTCTCTCTCTCTCTCTCTCTCTGTTATCGCGAGCTCATATCAATTTGATGTCAGTTATAGTAGCTTTGTGTTGAATTTCGGAAGTGTGAAAATTGTTCATCAAGTGGCCGTAATGCGATATATTACGTCGACTTTGATGTTGGGAGGCGAGCGTGTGTGAGTGTCGGTGAAATGGATGATTTTGAAAAGTCATTAAACGTTTTGGAAGAGAAAAATGTATTGTTATGTTTTTTCTTCTGTCCGAGTAGAGCATTATTATTATTTATTGTTATTATTATTTATTATTATTATTATTATTATTATTATTATTATTATTATTATTATTATTATTATTATAGTTGTTATTATTGTCATTCATCTTGTTATTGCGACTGTTATTACGTAATGATACTGAGATTGATGTGGTAGGCTGAAATAGTGATGCTAACGTACCTTATGTACAGATGATTCAGTGACTTGATGGTGTATTGATGTGGAGGTTAGGTCAGGTCAGGTCAGGTCAGGTCAGGTTAGGTTAGGTTAGATTAGGTTAGGTTAGCTAGCTTAGACATCCATGCCAAATCCAACCAGAAATCCACCAGATTAATAACTCGTAACTGATAGTGATTTATACTGTGGTGATTGAGGTACCTGGAGGTAGTTGACAAGGAAAATGGTCGTGGTATTGATAGGTAAATATTCTTATTAATTACACAACAGGTGGAGAGACTCGGGTACCTTTACAAATAAGCCTGACGCAGAGAACATATTTGTGAATTAATGTAATTGTTGTAGTGGAAGATTCGATATAGTCAGTCAGCCATTGTTTTTATTATTATTATTATTATTATTACTTGACTGTGTTCGTAATTAGATGTGGTTAAGTCATTTAGCCAGCCAGTCAGTCCGTCAGTCCGTCTATCAGTCAGTCCATCTATTTGTGTCCGTACCCTTCACCCATCCCGCTTCCCAACTCCCATCCTCTACCCTTCGCCTATCACCCTTCCCTCCACCCCCCCCTCCCATTATCCACACCCGTCACCCACACCGTTGTGATGGTCAAGAAATTTTTTAGTGCTATAGTGACACAGTCGATATGTAGTGATATAGTAAAAAAGTTGATAAGTTGTAGCGATATAGTGACAGTCGATAAGTTGTAGTGATATAGTGACGCAGTCGATGAGTTGTAGCGATATAGTGACACAGTCGATAAGTTGTAGCGATATAGTGACACAGTCGATAAGTTGTAGCGATATAGTGACACAGTCGATAAGTTGTAGTGATATAGTGACACAGTCGATAAGTTGTAGCGATATAGTGACACAGTCGATAAGTTGTAGCGATATAGTGACACAGTCGATAAGTTGTAGCGATATAGTGACACAGTCGATAAGTTGTAGCGATATAGTGACACAGTCGATAAGTTGTAGCGATATATTGGCGCAGTCGACTCCCCCCTTCCCCGCTTGCACTACTATTTAAAGAGTTCCCGTAATCCACTAAGGCTGAGAAGTCTTCCTCTTGTGGTTTTCCAAGGGGCTGTAGCAGTTTATTGGTGCAGGCGATCCCCGGCGCCACTAAATTAAGAGTTCTCGTAATCTCTAAAGTTGGATGGAGGCGGAGGCTTGTGTTTCCATTAGGACAGTGGTAGTAGGGGACTTGGGAGGGTTTTGGGTGTGGTCATTAATGGTGTATGTGTGTGTGTGTATGTATGTATGTGTGTATGTATGTATGTGTGTATGTATGTATGTATGTATGTGTGTATGTATGTATGTATGTATGTATGTATGTGTGTATGTATGTATGTATGTATGTATGTATGTATGTATTTATTGTAGTGTATTTATCCCTTCCTTTTCTTCATTCTTTATCACCGGTTTCTCTCTTCACCTACCTCCTCTTCTCCCTTCCGCCTCCTTCCTTTCTCCCCTCTCCTTTCTTTCCCTTCCCTTTCTACCCTTGCCCCTTCACCATCCTCCTCCTGTACATCTTAAACCCCACTTCTACCTTCCTTCCCCTCCCCATTCACCTCCTTCCCTCCCCAACCCTTTCCCCGTCCTACCCTCCCTTCCATCCGCCTCTTCCCTTCCCCCCACCCCACATTCTTTTTCTCCCCTCACCCTCTCCTGCCAATCCTCAACTCTCCCCTTCCCCTCACCCTCCTCCCCCTTCCCTACCCTCCTCCCCCTTCCTCTACCCTCCTCCCCCTTCCCCATCCCTCTCCCACCCCAGCTTTAGCACCCACCTGATAGCGATTTAGGTCTCCATGATAAAAATTTAGGGGCTCGTGATAACAATTTAGCGGTGCCTTAGGATAACAGACTGCTACTCGATAGGCATTTGGGGGAGTCGTTTTAATAAGATGTGGCTGTGGCGGGACTCTGAAGCAACGATAACGCCGTGGGTGTGGGTGGGTGTGGGTGGGTGGGTAGGTGTGTGTACGAGTATGTAGGGTGGGTGTGTGTATGTATATGATGATATGTATGTGTGGATATAATGTATGTTTAAAATGTCCTTAGAAAAATTAACTGGTAAAAATTTTAGATCTCTGTGACGGTTTAACAATTTAAATTTTCCGTTGTATCGTTGTATAAAAATTGAAATTTTTTTTTTATCTCGGTGACAATTTAACAGTTCATATATAATGAAATAATACCTAAAATTTTAAGGTAGTAAAGCTTTTTAATTTCAAAATTATCGCACGAAAAGCAATATCGGGATTTTTATTTTAACAACAAAAAGTTTTAATGACGTTTCATTGAGTAAAAATCCCTATAAACTTCTTGATTACATTAGGTCTCTCTGAGAACAACGTCAGGGTATTTTTTAAATGATTAACAAGCCCTCGGTAACAATTTAAAGTTCCTCTTTTAACAATTAACAATTCCCAGACAACAGTTTCCAACATACTGAAAACAAATATATTCAACTCTAAATAATTTCCACCAACACGTATATTCAAAATCCTGATTACATAATTTTTAAAAACACTGACACAGTATTTTTTCTAGGTGATTTTTTTCCCAAGATTATTTCGTGCGATAATAGTTAATGGTGGAGCTTTGGGAATGATAAGAGTTAATGAGTATTGACAGATGTCCGGGACACTAACAGTCTGACTAGTGATAATGATTTGTTTTTGTCTCCTCGGTTTTCTGTTTGAATATTGTCAACTACCCACACACTAGAGTCTGAAAGGTTGACCCAAAGAGAGGTCAACTACCCACATAAAGAGTCTGAAAGGGCTGACCCAAAGATAAGGGATTGGCCTAAAGAGAGGAGGCTGACACAAAGAGGAGCTCACCTAATGTAATGTATTTTGGTTAATCAGAGGCTTGTTTGTTATATATCGGTAGTAGAAACAACAGGTAGTGCTTAACGGAATCTTTCTGTTTACAGGATTAATCTCTATAGTTAATCAGTTGTTCCTTATTATTATTATTATTATTTTATTTGTTTAGTTTTCATTATTGTTATTATTATTAGTAGTAGTAGTAATATTGCTTTTATTATTGTTGTTCATAGTAGTAGTATTTGTTGTTTTTATTATTAATATTTATTATTATTATTATTATTATTATTATTATTATTATTATTATTATTATTATTATTATTATTATTAACCAGAACTAACACGTGGACATATTCCCCCATAACAGACTCATCACTGGGTCGACCTGATGATCTATTTCACATGGGAATAGAATTATTATTATTATTTTTTTTTTTCATAGTGATGATAGATAGTTTGCAATTTCCTGGTTCTCTGTGATATTTGTTTACCCAATAAAACCAACAAACAAACCTTTGAAACCGAAAATGAGATTGGTGTTATTGAAAATGTCCGAAATAATAGACAAGTGGAGGGTATCGATTCTGTGTGTTTGTTTGATGTCAACTGTATTTCGGTAACATTGATTTATTATAAGTCCAGTTGTGTATTTATTGTATATTTAACAGAGTTTTATTGTAAATTTAAGTATGATTTATTGCATATTTTAACTTTTTTTGTATCCAGATTGTGATGTTTTGTGATCTAGCTGAGAGAGGGGGGGGAGGAGGTATAGCGTGGCATGGGTGGTGTTTTAGGGGTAGCTTATGTTCATGACTTCAGTACACTACATCTGCTACACTATCATCTACACTACATGAAATACACTATCACTTTTTGGTAAGGTCGTGGTGACGGCGAGGCAAATATTGTGGTACTGAATGGCTCCTGGCACCCCCCCCCCTTCCCCACCTTCCCCACACACACACAAGGTTATGTTATTGTTATAGATACAATTTTTTATTATAAATGTTGCTGAATTTTAAGTCTGAATTTTGTTAAATAAGTGTAAAATTTACCACCAAACTGCCTTATTGTAAATGTAAGTAGCCGGTATTTACTTGTAAACATTACAGGTAAAATATACGGAGAATGGTATTTGTAAATTTATTTTTAAGCAGTGGTGATAGCTGGAGCGACTTGATTAGTTTGAAGTTTGTTGTGTTATCAGTTCCCATTGGTTCTGTGTGGCAATTTTTTGTTTAAGTAAACTCGTATGTTGCCAAGTGAATATGTTGTGTTGCAACCTTTGTTTTACTGTCCATACATTCTTATACAGACATGTTTTATGTATTGCATCTTCTGTGTTATTATCACTACGTTTGTTTACATCTGTAATTTGTGTTTCAGTCTTTATGTTATTAACAGCGGTAAGTTTGTTAACAATACGTGTGTTGTATGATTTGCTGGGTGTATTATTATTATTAGTAGTAGTAGTAGTACATTGTTACATTGGTGTGTTATTACGACTCTTGTTAACTTATGTATTTTGTTGTGTTGCTGCTGGTGGGTTGAGAGTGTTTACATTAATTGACACTTGTTATATATGTTACAACTTCTCTGTTATTATTAATGTTGACTGATGTTAGCTATCGTTGTGTTGCAGCTGGTGGGCGGAGAGTTTGACATGGAGTTGAACTTCGTGATCCAGGATGCACACAACCTACGACATATGCTGGAGCTCCTCGACCACTGCCCGCCACCCTTACAGGTAAAGTCACCCACCTTCAGTGTTTACATCAGCTGACTCGACACGTCTGGACATGTAAAGTGGCGAGTCGGCTGTTCGTGATTGAAGTTTTCCTATACAATTTTGTTTTGATCTTGACTAACGGTGAATTATGGTCCATAGGTGAGTTAGATCGTGTTGTTTGGTTTATTAGGGATTGTGCATTTACCCTTTATGTGGATATTAGATGGTGATGAAATTTATCTGTGAGTTCTGGTACCTACGTTTGTTTTGGTGTATAGCTTTCATCACACACACACACACACACACACACACACGGGAGACTCACCACCCGGGCGTTAAAGCTGAATGGTCCATGCACGACAATGTACAAACACCCGTGAACACCACATCTCCTCACCTCACGCCATTGTCACACGACCAAGTATTGCTTCCACAACACCTATGGTCCCAGACACAGTGCTAGGTGCGGGAGTGTGGTGTTTATTGTGATTGAAGGGAAGACCATTAATATGTGTGCACTCTTGAATAGAACCATAAGCGCGTGTATTGAATCGTCTTGTATGGGATTTAGTTGGTTTGTGTTGAGGTAAACAAGATTTTAAGGCCTTGTGTTGAAGGAGCTAGAGTCATCGTACTCAGAGGCCAGAGTCCACGTATTTGAGATTAATCCTGGTTCTGAAGGGGCTAGAATCCTTGTACTCGAGGGGCTAGAGTCCTTGTACTTTAGAGGCTAGAGTCCTTGTACTCTAAGGTCCAGAATCTTCCTACTCAAGAGGCTAATTTTAATACTACTAGTCAATACTACTACTGCTACTACTACTACTATTACTACTACTACTACTACTACTACTACTACTACTACTACTACTACTACTGCTGCTAATAATAATAATAATAATAATGATAATAATAATGATAATAATATTAATGGCACTGATAGTTGAGATAATACTAAGAATCATGATGTAGAAACTGTGATGATAAAACTCCTATTACTACTGCCACGAATCATAATAAATTGAATTTAAAAAAAAAACGATTAAGTTAGAGAGAAAATATGAAAAAAAGTGAAATAATAATCGTCATAAAGAAGAGTACAGTATTCATATAAGCCTTGATAAAAGACACTTGCCTCGTGTCTTAATTTGCATGAAAAGTTACCCCATGGTCTATTTTAACTTCTTAGTGGATAATGTGAAAATCCTTCTTTTGGTGGATAATGCAAAAATCCCTCCGTTCTGGCTAATGTTAAAAATTTCTTCCCAAGTCGACAGTGTAAGAATCCTTCCATATACCACAATGTTTTAGTTCGGTTTATATCTATTTATCCTCCAGTCACTCTTCACTATCCGCGTATCTCCTTCCCCCAGTCTGAAAATTGAATCTACATGGGGGACGTCGTCTATTACTCGATGTTATTGATCGCTGTTGCTCTTGTATGATAAGATATTTACGGCCGACCTCTTACAATATTTGCCCTCTAAACACCGTCAACTGCGATCCGCTACGTCTGCCTGGAAATTATAATGGTTTGACCTGGACCGGGTGGGCTAATATTTTAGTTGGGAGTCTGGAGTTTCTTGTTGACCCCTGGGTGTTTTAGGTTCTATTTCGGTGCTGGAGCCGCTAGAGCCCTGAGATGCTTATCGAACCTTGGGATTTGAGTTTAATTTTAGGAGGATTCAGGAAGTTTTTAGTTTTATTTGGGTTTCATAAGTTTTGATTCCAGTCGGGGAGCTTAGGTTTTGGTTAGGCCCTGAAAGCTTAGACGGTAGTTAAACTTAGGAAGCTTAGGATTTCGTTATGCCCTGAAAGCTTGGGCTGTACGTGGTTCCTGAAAAAAAAAAATATATGGACTCCAGATGATCCCTAGAAATTCAGATCCTGGCAGTTTCGAACTTCGTGAATAGATACTTGATACTTGAGAACAGTTTTATACACAAAGAGATAAGCTTCACAGATGTTGTATTTGATAGGCAGTTGTGCGCTTATTTCTCTGTTGGTGAGTTGTCGTACATTTTTCTCATGGTGTTGCACTAGCCAGCCCAGCCAAGTAGCCAAGCGTTATACTGCCGATAATTGCACATGAGCAAAAGTGCCCTCAGAAACCTTTACTTTGGCAGGTGATTATCGTTGATGAATAAAACTTAAACGGTGTGTTTTTCGCCCGCATAAAATTTGCATATCGTTAAGTCGACTTAATGTTGCAGGATCAGTATGCATAGTTTGCAGTTATGCTCGACAGTACTTAGCATATACTCGTATGTATAGAATCTTCACTATGCATACTGACTACATAATGCTTGATATGCACACTGCTTCCAATACCCATAATACACACTAGCTCCCTAATGCCCAGTATACCCACAGGCGCCATAACAGTACTCAGGCTGCGCCAATACACCCAGTAGTAACTCCGTGGAGCTCCTCGGCTGTGGTCAATATCGGCCGCGACAATATGTATGATAATGATTATTACAGCTGAAGCTTCCGGTGATAATTTAATAGTTATTGTCCGTACGTTAGTAGTTATTGAGGTGATTGTAAATAACGCGCGCGTGTGTGTGGGTGGTGGGGAGGGGGGGTAGTGGGAGAAAGATGGTGTATGGAAGAGGAGGTGGATATGTGGAGGAATAGAAGAGAGGGAGGGAGAAGAGGAAGAAGAGAGGCGGGCATAAGAAAACACATGAATGTATAGAGGAAGAGGAAGCTCATGTACAGTATATAGTGTACATAAATAAGAGGAGTATGCGGAGGTATGCGGAGGTGCTTACACGGAGGAGGAGTTAGAAGAGGAGGAACAGCAAGAAGAGGAGGGGGTAGAGGAAGAACAAGAAGAGGGAGCGAGTAAGGGGAAGAAGATGAGTGAAGAGGAAGAAGAAGACGAAGAAGAGGGGAGAAGGGGAGGGGGAGGGGAAGACGAAGAGGAGCATATATGAGACTCCTGAGAGGGAAGAGTCAAGAAGCAGCAGCACTTGAGGGCCTTGACATATCCCTCGGGCTGCCACTTTGAGCCACCAAATTAGATTAATTAATGAAGAAACTCGGTGAAGAGTGTCTCCCCACCCCCTCCTTTCTCTCTCCCCCCCTCATTTCCTCTTCCCCCTTCATCTCCTCTCCTCCCCCTCTCCCCTTCTCCCTCCCTCTCTCCTCTCATCTCTCCCCTCTCTCCCTTCATCTCCTCCCCCTCTCTCCCCTTCATCTTCTCTCCCCTCTCCCCTCTCATCATCTCTCCCTCTCTCCCTTCATCTCCTCCCCTCTCCCCTTCATCTCTCTCCTCCCCCTCTTCCCTTCTCTCCTCTCCCCTCCCCTCTCTCCCCTTCATCTCCCCTTTCTCCCCTCTTCATCTCCTCCCCCTCTCCCTTCTCTCTCTCTCTTCCCCTTCATCTCCTCTTCCTCCCCTCTCTCCCCTTCATCTCCTCCCCCTTCTCTCCCTCTCCTCTCTCCTCCCTTCTCCCTTCATCTCCTCTCCCTCCTCTCTCCCCTTCATCTCCCTCTCCTTCATCTCTCCCTCCTCCCTCTCCTCCCCCTCTCTCCCTCCTTCATCTCCTCCCCTCCCCTTCTCCTCCCCTCTCCCTCTTCATCTCCCTCCTCTCTCCTTCATCTCCTCCTCTCCCCTTCATCTCTCCTCTCTCCCCTTCATCTCCTCCCCCTCTCTCCCCTTCATCTCCTCTCCCTCCCCCTCTCTGATCGCACCTTCATTTTATCAGTTACCCTCATAATAACCTCACGCCTTACTCTCCTAAGTGTAACTCAAGAATTTTACAGTGTGTGAGGTAGACTTTCCCCGTCAAAGAGTCAAGATGTGGTGTGTGTAGTGTCTCGTGCTGTGCTTCTCGTCAGGTGATGTGTTTGGAGTTAAGTTTTGAACCTGGAAATGCTGGACTTATCTCAGTTCTTGGAGTGTGTTACTAAATGATGTGAAAATTTGTTTAGTTTTATGGGTGAATGTTAGGGTGTGTGTGTGTGTGTGTGTTGGGGGGAAACTAACTACAGATCTGCGTATGAATGTTGAGTACGTAACTAATGATCAGCATGTGTGTGAGTGCCTAGTACTTGACTCCAGCTCTGTGAATGTGAGTTACTTCCTATAGTATACCGTGTGAATGTCTGGCAGGCTACGTATACCTCAGTCGTGTGTGCCAGTGTCAGGAAAGTCAGCAAGGCGTACACCCTCCGCCCCTCCCCTGACGAGAAGGTTGCATGACCACCGCCAAGTGCCTGGGTTATTGCGCCAGGTCGTCGGGTATTAAAGATGATGTTGTCTGAAGGGAAAAACGGCGTTAATTTGTCCCAGCGGTCGAGGTCGGCTCATTCCAAGGCCTTTCCTGGAATGAGATGATTGCAGGGTGGGTACCAGGGAGGGAGGAAAGAGGAACGGAAGGAATGAGAGGGAGGTAGGGAAGGAAGGAAGGAAGAAAAGAGACAGGGAGTGAAGGGGGTGGAGTGAAAGAAGGGTGGAAGGATTGAAAGAGGGAAGAAGGAAACAGGGAGAGAGGGAGGGAGAAAGGGAAAGCGAGAAGGGAGGGAGGGAAGCAAGAAAGGAAATGGGGGAAGGAAGAAAGAGAAGGGAAAGGAAGGTATGAGGGAGGGAGGTGATGTGCGGTGGTGAGAGGGTGAGAGCGAACAAGGAATTAAAAATAGGAAGAAGCAAGGGGAAGGAAAGGAGGATTAAGAACAAGGAAGAGTGAGCGAGGACAAACGGGAGGGGAGAGAGAGAGAGAGAGAGGCAAAGAAGAGGTGGGTGAAAAAGAGGGGAGGCAAGGCGGAGGAGGTGAGGGGAGGGGGGTAAAATGAGAGGAGAGGAGAGGCGGAGGTGAACGAGAGGAGGAGGCGGAGGGTGAATGAGAGGAGAGGAAGATAATGAGAGGCAGGAGGAAGATGAACGAGAGGTGAGGAGGAGGGTAAATGAGAGGAGAGGAGGGGAAGGGGACCATTGTGTGTGTGTGGATTTATTAGTATAAAGATAATTGTAGATGAGCTTTCTTGCTTAGTGGCCCAGGAGAGTAGGGAGGTGA